CTGTATCCTTGGTTCCTGTGCCAGCTTGGTGCCCTTAGCTGTGGGATCAGTCACGCCTGCAATGCCTTTGTCTTTGAATAATGGAAATGCTTTAGCTAGCCTCACAGTGAGTTTTGCAGCTGTAGGTAAAAGTCGGCAAACAGATGCCTTTCTTGTTTGCAACACTTGTCTTGCAGAAGACCCTCTTGTTTTATGTTTCTAAAAAGTTGCATAAATAGAAAAGCACTTTGCTACTTCATATATGCCTTTATTATAAGTGGGCATAAATAATTTGACAGGCTTGTTGAAGATTCTCTGTGTTTTGATCTTAAGTCTTACTTGTGCCAGTGTCCTGATGTTACTTGGCTTTTATAGTACCAAGTTAACCTTTGTAGTGGTGCCTTCTCACTTTTGAGAAAATTGATTTGTTATCTCCTCAATTTATTTCCACAAGTGTTTAGTGATATGTACTTTATGTTTCAGGTACTCAGTTCTGTATTCAGGCATGTGAACACAGTTGATTCCACTACGTTTTTATTGAAGTGTTTCTGTAGCTGAGGAAAGTTTTCATGCTCGTATTATGTTGATATTGCCAAAAAACACAACTACCTGTGCTGTCTGAAAATTCCACTGATACTGTGGGTCACAGTCATAAATTATTCCTGGGTATTGGCATTAGAGGCTGGCCTTTACACCAGCTTCCCTAAGACATCTGCACAAACTCAATAGCATACCCTAGAACTTTAAAATGAGAGGAAAAAGAGGTAAACTTGAAATGCTGTTTTTGCTTTATTATTGATTCAAACAGTTCTGGGTATTTCTTAAATTGAAAGCACAGAAATGGTTTTTTCATGCACTAGATTTTGTAAGTGCAACTTACAGTAGCAATGCAAAATACATTCCTTAGCCTGCATTGCTGGGCTTGTCAAGGGACCAGAGAATTTCATTTTAAGATGCGTGTTTTTCTTCACAGATCACATTTATCTCTGCCTATTCCCTATTTTAAAATGTTTCAAATGCTGCTAGTGGATGAAAAGGGAAAACAAATACTTTCAGATTCTATTTGTAAACTTTCATGCAAATACATGTATTGTTTTTGTTTTTAAATGTGATTGTATGTTCTGCATTCATATGTGTGCATGTGTTTGAAAGCAAAGACAGGTGGAATCATAGTATCATAGAACTATAGAACTGCCTTAGGTTGGAGGGACTTTAAGATAATCTAATTCCAACACCCATGCCATGGCCAGGGTTGCCAGCCACTGGGTCAGGCTGCCCAGTATTCCATCCAACCTGGCTTTGAAATCCTGCGGGAATGGAGCATCCACAGCATCTCTGGGCAACAGTGCCTCACTACCCTCTGAGTAAAGAATTTTTTCCTAAATTCTAACTTAAATCTTCCCACTCTTTTAATTGAAAGTCCTTCCTTTTTGTTCTGTCACTATCAGACCATGTAAAAATCAGTCTCCCTTCTGCTTATTAGCCTCCCTTACAGGCCACAATGAGGTTTGCTCATGGCCTTCTCCAAGCTTGACAAGCCCAGCTCCCTCAATTTTTTCTTTGTGATAGATGTGCTCCAGGCCCTTGATCACCTTCATGACCCTCCTCTAGATCTGCTTCTGTAGCTCCACAACTTTCTTGCGCTGGGAGTCCCAGGCCAGAATGCAGAACTCCAGATGAGGCCTCACAAAGGCAGAGTAAAGGGTACAGTCACCTCCTTTGCCCTGCTGGCTATCCCTCTTTTGATGTAGCTCAGGATACTGTTGGCTTTCTGGATTGCAGGCACATATAGCTCGCTCATGTCTAGCTTTTTGTCCACCAGGATCCCCATGTCCTTCTCCACAGGGCTGCTCTCAAGTTCTTCTCCCAGTGTATACCCAGCATATCTGGGATTATCCTGATCCAAGTGCAGAGTGTCGCACCTGGCCTTGTTGAATCTCATTATTTCCTGTGGGCCCAATTTTCAAGCCTGTCCAAGGCCCTCTGGATGGCATCCCTTCCTTATGTCATATCAGCTGCACCACTCAGCTTGGTGTACTTGCTAACAGTACACTCAATCCCACTGTCTTTGTCACTGAGAAAGGTGTTAAAGACACTGGTCCCAAGACAGGCCCCTGTGGGTCACCACTCATCACTGGCCTCTATCTGGACATAGATCCATTGACCACAAACCTGTGACCATCCACCAATTCTTTGTCCACTGAATAGTCCACAAAACAGATGTAAGGTGCAAAATATATAGAATATGTTTTATGTATATGTATACATCATACTTTTCAAACATAAGGCTGAGATTGCTAAGGACATGTCCTTTAATATCGTCTGAGCTGGCAGGGTTGTGAGATGGGATCTGTTTGCATCCTTGTTACCCTGCTTATTTTCCATTGTCCTGAGATTTGGCTCCATGCCTAGAGTGCTTTTATTGTGTCTTTCCTCAGCTGGGTCGTGATCATATGGTAGAAGTTGTTTATGTAAGTCCTAACTGCTGCACTTCTCCAGAGACCCATAGTCTTCTCAAAGGTTTCTAACATACAAGGAACTTGCCTTAGGTCAGTGCACAGACATTGCACTGATTCTTCTGTTCTCTCTCACTGGTCAGCAGCAAAAAGCCACTTGTTATTGCAGATCAGCCCGAGAGAGCACATGTGGTGTGGTATGTTGATGGCTCTGTAGATGAGAGGAGCTTGCCTGAATAAAGAGAGCAGAAAGTGACTTTCCAGGCTACCTCCACAGGTGTCTATATCTAGTGCTTTTTTTTGTTTCATTGTAACTGAGGCGAATTTATCTGAACTTTTGGGCTTTGGCTTTCGTTCTGCATCTCTTGAAGCATGTAACTTGCGGGTCAGTAGTACTGGATCCCACTGCAAGGTGGGATCTCTGTTGATATTGTGTAAAAAGTTGTCTTGGTGTCTGAATTAATTTTGCAAAATGCTGTTGTTGTTCTTAGTTGTGTATCAGATTCAGTACAATGAAATATTCTTCTGAATGTAAGGGATTGGCTTTCAGTTTTATGTTGTCCTTGCAAGTGCACTAAGCTAGCAGAAGAACCTGCTATTTAAGAAGGATGTGTCGAGGCTGTTGCTGTCTCCTAGTAGAATGCCCATGTTTGGGATTATTTTATGCAGAAGTGTATCAGCTGATACAAGTTTCCCCAAAGTAAGATATAAAAAGCTCAGGTTAAGCACGAGTTCAGGAGGAGGCATGAGCTATGCTCTGCTTACGTCAGAAAATTCCTTGTGCTGGTTTCTTCCCTTTGGCCCAACCCCTCTGCCCCTGCCAGGCAGGAGCCGTACCTCTCAAGAATAGGTTGTTCTTCCAGCCGGCGTGGTATGTGGCTGGGCATGCAGACTCTAACAACAACAACAAAAAAAGACATGAGACATAACCAGTAACATAAACTCTAGCATGTCTTGCAAAGATGTTCTGGTAATAAGAGCTTCTGCTATCAAGTGAAATTCAGCTGTGGGTTTCTAAGCATATAGACACATACATGCAAAGGAACTTTGCTGGGAACAGACCACTTTATGTACGGTTTTTTGCACTCCGTATTTTTCAATTCTGGAAACAATGTGCAAATGAAAATGTGTAAAACAGGAGTGTTGTTTTCTCCCTGGATTTTCTGTGTTAGAGCTAAGAGAAATAGAAAAAATTATCAAGCTTGGAAAGTGTAGCCTGGGAGTTTTATTTAAGTGTGCAAATCTGTTTTTAAGCATATCCTAAAAAAAATGCCAACAAACCAGGGTAGTCAAGACATGCAGTCATCAGCAATATTATAGCTCTTCTGGTATTAAGCAGCCTTCAGAATTTTTGCAATTGACTTAAGTGACATTGTGCTTTTATAGAGCACTTAAGTTTTCAGCTGTTAGCAGTCACCTCTGGATGCTTGAAATACAAATCTGTCTGTTTGTTTAGCTATTTTCTTCTTAAGGCAGACCACATCTTTTGAAGCAAAGTAGCATCTCCAAAGATTCATAACAATCTCACAGACTGTTTCTCTACCCTGTGACTTTGGCTACAGGCAAAAGCACTGTTGAATATGTTATCAGCACGCCACCTTTACAGCCATTTTGTTTGGTTAGTGAAGATCCCATCATGTTATACTGTGTATAGCTGCCCTGTTAAACTCCAGACTGACAGACTGTTAACAGTGTTTGAAAACAGCCAGTTCAAACAAGGAGATAGGAAGGACTTTATATCCTTGCACATGGAGAGATAAGGGTATGTGATAGACACGCTTAGGAACAAGGGGGTCAACTGGTCAATGAGTTTTCTGAGTGCTCAGTTACAAGGAATACAAGGAGGAGTGTTGCTTTAAAAAACACAGAATCATTTTTTTTAACAATCTCACTAGGAAATAAAGTTTTGTTATGGGCAAGACTACCACTTTTTTCCTGAATCTTTGGCCATTCTGCAACAATCAGTTATAACGAAAATTTTCCATGGGATATTTTGCACTAAATCAGAGCAGGGGAGAAATCAATGAGTGAAGGAAAAGAAGAATTTTATTATGGATGCCTTTTTTATCCACTGCTTATCAACCGTCTGATGGACTGTAAGTTTAAAAGGCATGAGAAGTTGTTTTGCAGTATTTCAGAGTATTACTGAAGGATTCCTGAAGTTTTCCACAAGGTGAAAGTTCTGTTCCTGTTTGAAAAATATTGCACGTTGAGTTTTTTGAGTAATTTTCTGTCTCGGCCCTGTTCATTCTGATCCAGCTTATATGGATAAAAGTCACTGCTACAGCAGCTGGAAGGATGAAGGTGACAGGACAAAGTGTTCTCTACTAAGCCCACTCATTTGATGTACAGAGATCCCTGCAGGGATAAAGAAGAATGAGTAAAAAGGAAATTCAAGGGAGAAAAAAGCAGGGTAAGGGCTGAAGAATCTTTCATACTATAATGAAAAGAACAGGATCATCCCTAAAAGCAAAAGAACTAACAGCTCCAGCTTCTGCTGTTGTAGCAGAGGTAGGTAAGATTTCTTTTTCATCTGTGAAATCAACAACTGAATTTCTTGCAATTGATGAGGAGGGATTTCCTAATTAAAATTTACAGCCTAAATGGAGAATCTGATTCTAGGTGAAGAAAAGAAGAAAAATAACTATAAATTACAAAAACATAGTATGAGCCAGATCCTCACCATCTACTGATGTAAGTTAGCAAAACTCCATTTAATGTAACTACCTTCATTTACGTTGAATCTTCTACGTACAGTCAAAACATATGTACTATCTGTTAAAGTGCTTACCTTCATTTTTTCTTCTCTTGAGGTACTCTTTACATCGGGGAATGCAGATTACAGCAGGAGTTAACCTCAGCTTTCCCGAAAACTGTCATCTGATATGAGTCCAAGTAAGTCTACTGAGCTCAGAAAAGTTAGGCTTCTCTTTACGTTTATATTGGCAAAAACAAAAGCAGAAGCATTTCTAAATGCGGTGGTGGAAGTGTGCAGGCCATGGGCAAATTAAAGACTAAATGAGATTCTGCACTCAGCTGCAAACATGTAAGCACAAGATAGCTCTATTTCCATTGTAGTAACTGAGATCTGATCTCTTCATCTCTGCTTTTTGGAGGTTACACTCCAGACAAATCACATTCTGTGTATGTCTGTAGCCATATTATCAGCATGCTTACAGTGCAATTCCCAATTTGCTGCCATCTGCTTTACATGTAAAGTTAAGAAGAGCGGGTGTCTACAGGATCAGAAATCTTAATCCTCTGATAAAATGAAAAATTGCCAATGAAAGCTGTATGTCCTTAGTTGCCTAAGGAATAGTTAGTAATGAAACTGCTCGTTAATTATAGTCAGGAGTTCAATGATATGGATATTAGGTCCTAAGTAAGGCAAGACTCTGGTCAGGGAGGCAAACCCAGGAGAATGTTCGGGGGGGGGGGGGAAGGTAGGCAAGGGACCACAGTAAAATTGGTTTTCCTGTGTGGCTTATATTGTTAGTATACATGTCAGTTCTGTATGCTTTGCTTAACTAGTTGAGTTTTTGCTTGCTCCAGGGAAGTCTGCTCAGGGTTTGTTGGATTGCACAAGAACTTGAATATTATGGCATGGTTTTATACTTTGCTCATAACTGGGACCAGTGTGAGTTTTACTTTACTGATAAACATTCTCTGTAGGAAATATCCATGCTGTCTGTACTGCACATTTACAGGTTGAAATTATCAGAGTCCAACTTTTCCTTAATGAAAGAAGGGAAAAGATTTGCAGGAGGGAAATTTTATGGAAAGTGCTCATCAACTTTTGTGGTCACTCTAAAATACTGAAGCTGTGTTGCCCCAGAGGCAAGACTTGTGAGAAACCTTGCTTTCATACAAAATATCACTGGAAGTTCAGTAAATCTGTGTTTGGATTCACTTTCACTAAATGGATATAAAAATATTTATTGGAAAGTTTTGGAAGACCATTTGTCGAAAAGTAAATAACTTTATATATGTAAATAAAATGTAATAAATCCTAAGATATTTCACTGGGATTGTAGCCCCGTCTTTAGGTGCTGTAGGTTCATTTACCTAAAAAGTTGTATATGATTTTACACCAACATAAGATTTAATTTTTCAAGCACATATTGTTTTATCCTCTTGCATTCTCTGGAGAGAAATGAAATGTTCTTTGGCCAAAAAAAAAAAAAAAGTGGAACATTTAGTGTCTCCTCTTTGCTGCTTGTTGATGCATCTGTTGTTTTCAATTAGATTGATGGCATCCATTTTCAGAAAGCAGATGCTGCCCTCTTTTGCATTGGTGCAATTCCGGAAAAGAACCACGTCAGTGAAGTACTTCCAAACTTATCTCCAATGAAAGCAAAATTGGACCACAGTCTCATCATTTGCTTACATGCGTTGGTGCTCTAGGAAGGTGCACTACTACCACACTGTAAGTTGAGCCTGTATGCTGTGCCACACTCAGCTCTTTTGTGCCCTTAACAGTTATGAGCCTGGCAGAAATCAGGCTGGTGTGCGGTTTTGGGGATCAGTAGATTGCTCATATCAAGCAGGGCAGATTCCATTTCTAAATCCTTGCCTTCTTTTCTATCCCAATTTCTGTCAATTTCCTCTTGCTTCGATATGATCTGTTTCTAAGGAGACAGATTTTTTATGGTAAGAAATTATACTTGCAGTTCTTAAATAATACAATGACAGAAGGGTAGCAGAAGTAGGCATGGAGACAATTTCTACTCCTACAGATTTTTACTGTTATGGCCATCTGTGAAAACTGTCCTGTCAGGTTGGCTGTAGATCTGCTGACTCTAGGGTCTCCATTTTCAGGATATACTAAGTTTAAACAAATCAGATCACTTCTTTCTTGATCCAGTACTTCTGATTTTAATGATGCCTCCCCTGAAAAAGCTTCACATAAAAGCCATTAGTGTATGCTGTGTGGAAAATTGCCACTTAAGATAGGATAGATGAGGGTCAATAGAGGAAGTACAGAGTTAGCAAAAAACACAGTAAATAATCATTGTGAGAAAGGAGGGAGGTTCTTAAAGGAGTTCTTCAAGGGTTACTCTTTAGATTGTTTAAAGTATTTGCAGAAGGACTAAGATAAAATTTAGCAATGATGTAACCTAAGTGTCACTGTGTGTGTGAATGTGAATGATGGACTTAAAGAAACTGGAAGATACTAAATAGCACAGCTATTATATATATTATATATATATAATTATATAATATAATATATATATAAAATATAATTATTATATATATTATATAATTATATGTATATAATAGGGATTTTGATAGTAAGCGTATCATTTCTGGAAGACACAGATTGGGAGTGGTAAGATCAGTCAGAGTACCTGTGTCAATTAGAGTCACAAGAGTGATGAAGTCATAAGCTTCAGATATAACTCTTGAAAGTCTCAGAAGAACTTCTGCTACCACCTGGGAAGTGTTAATTCTTTAAGGCCTTGTCTGGAGTGTTGTGTGCTTTTGTGATGACCTAAATTTGGTGAATTTTAACTCGGAGTGGGAAGGAAGCATGGGAATGGCAGCAAGAATTATCAGGTGGATCAACACTACTTCACAAGAGAAACTTGGAAGAACCTGACTTTTCTAGACCAGCAAAAGATTGGCAAGACCTGTAGTTACAAAAATATGAGGGATTTTATTTATTTTTATTTAAGCGGTGTTGGTGAACAATAGAGCAAAAACTGTCAATGAATACATCTATATTGGAAAGCAGTAAGTGATTTCTAGTATAACAAATAAGGGGAAATGAAAACTTGTTTTGGGAGCAAAGCAATTTTTTTTTCCAAATGAACTTTGGCAAATTTGTGAAAGCGTTCTTATATAGAAGTAGTTACATGCAATGCTGAACCTAGATTGTATTTCAGATGCCAAATATATAAGCAATTGTATCTTACTGCCTGTATCTTCTGAAAAAAAATGCAGCTTAGTTGACATATTTGTTTAGCTGCAGGATGTCCAACCTTATTGACCTTATCATTTAGTATTTGGGCAGTTTGGTGTATGGGTAGGAAGAACATGAGTCTTTGGAGATGCCTATTTCTCAGTGGAAATGAGGGAAGAGAAAGAAGAGCTAGTAGTAGGCTAGGGTGGGGCAGGCAGTACCTGACTGGTCTATGCACTAGTTTGGAGGCAGAGGAAAGGCCAGTCCCTCAAGCTTTTGTTTTTGCACTTTGAAAGCACCAACAGTCTCTGTCCATTGCCCTTCCCCTCAACCTGGAACCTCTGCTGACTGTTTCTGATCCTTTCTCCCTTTCAAGGTCTTCACTGATCTTTCTTCTTTCTGGGGCTTTTGGTAATTCCTTGTTATTATCAACTCCCTGGAGTAACTTCAGTAGCACGTAGTTTTGAGAAAAGCCTTGAGCAAGCTCTGTTGCAGCTCAGCTCGGGTTTCTGATTTGGATGCAGAAATCAAGTGACAAATAACCTTCAGTGAACTGAAGGTCAGCCAAGTTGATAAGAGTGGCCTACAAGAGGTTATCAGAATAATCCTCTATTAAAAAGCGCTGTTCTGGCAGAGACAAAACCATGGTTTCATGTTTCTTCTTTCACCTCTTTGAGTTCATCTCATTCTGTGGCAATGACTGAGACTTTGAGCTCAGGGGATAGAACAGTGATTGACCAAGGTGGGATCTTCACCCATCCATTCAGATCTGTGTCATAAAAGCATGTAGGAAAACCTAGTCATGTTTTGTCCGTGAGTCTTCTAATTTGTTGCTGCTCTGTGTTCACTTATGCAATGAAACCATCACCTTGTGATTTATATCTAATTCTGGCTAGCCAGTTCAGTTATTTTGTTTGTTTTTGTTTTTAACTCTCCTTTTCAATTCCTTAATTAGAAAAAAAAAAAAAAAAAAAAAAAAAAAAAAAAAAAAAAGCATGCACATTATGGAAGTATGTGAGCACAAACAGCACAAACACCAAACTTTATCAATGGCATTGTCAGTATGGTACATACAAATCTGGTTGTGTGTAAGTTATTCTACGAGCATGTCATCATTTCTTGAGTTACAACAGCACAAAAAGGGAAAAACTCATTCAAAACTCAAATTATCTCATGACATTTGCAGACTGATCCAAAAAGTTTAATTTGAACCATAAACAGTGTTGCGTCTGTCTCTGAGCTCAATTGACTTTGACATTGATAGAAGAAGACACAATTAGTATCTGCTTCTGTGCATCTTAATTACAGCTGTTACATTATATGCAGTGCAGTTGTGTATGCCTTAGTCCTGAAGCATGAAACATATTAATGCTAAAGATCCTACAGGAATAATCTCTATCAGCAAAATGGTGATTGAAGTGCTTATGTGATAAAAATCAAATATGCCATCTCAGAGCTCAAAGAACTTTTCAGTGGTGAGAAAGTTAATATTACAGTTAGATTTTACAGTGGTGATAGAATAAGGATATGAGGATATGGAAGTCACACTGTGTATTTCTCAAGATCTGAAATATGCTGTAATTTTAATGTATCAGGAATAATACTGTCAGATACAATCCTTTTAGTGCTGTAGACAAGGGGTTTTCATGCTTATTAAATGATACCCACAAAACAATTATCTTTGTAGTTTGTCCTTGGAGATGACACAATGAGTTTCAGAAACACTCTGGAAGGTGTTCAGTATTGCTTATTCATTTGTCTAGTATCTGATGATCTGTTAGTTTTCTACAGCGCACTGCAAATATTTTTGTCGTATTTCCATCAAAAAAGGCCTTTTCAAAATCTGCCATGTCTGTGAGAGCATTCTGATTTCAATTGTTTGATATCTTTAAAAAATGAATTATTTTAAAATTTTGCAATATATCTTATTATTTTTATAATGTTCTGAACTTTTTTAGTTTTTAACAGCATATATGTGAACAAGGTAGAATGCAAAGTTTTGCAGTTATATCTTTTGTACTTTGATCTGTAATGAGAGGTGCAATTATTATTGATATTATTTGTAAACTAACCTTTTTTTTCAAGACAATACAGTGTAGCCACTGGCTTTCCAGTGTGGCTGCAATGTCAGCTCAAATACTTCTGTGCATTCAGTCAGGTGCTATTCAGATACTCCAAACCAGACGAAGTGACAGGTCAAATAGCATGGATACTAGACCATATTGTGAACTAAAAGAGGGGAGATATAGAGATGAAATCATGAGGAAATTTTTTACTTGGAAGCTGGTGAGGCACTGGAACAGGTTGTGCAGAGAAGCTGTAGATGCTCTATCCCTAGAGATGTTAAATGGCCAGCTTGGATGGGGCCCTGGGCATTGTGAACTAATGGATGGGAACATTGTCCATAGTGGAGGGGGTGGAACTAGATGACTGTAAGGACCCTTCCAATCCAAGTTATTCTATAATTGTATGCAGTAGGAATGACAGAAGGGATGTTCCAGTGCTTTGTCTGTCACTGAGCCAATCATTCTTTTCTGCAAGTGGAAAATATGCACAGATAAAAAAAGTTGTTTAATGAGTCCAAACTGCTTGTGCAATGCAGTGTGACTTGCTAGAACTCATCACTGTGAATTCTGAACAATTCCTGTTTCCACTTAGCATGTTATCTTTTAGAAGAGAAAAAAGAAATAAAAGAAAGAAGAAATAATAAGATTATAGTCCTGATAATTTCCTGTCTGCAGTGGGAGGAAGAATGGCAGTAGAAGGTGCTATCTGGAGTGTGCTGTAGCTCACCTTATTATCACGTAGAATATCATACATATATGAATATATATATACATATATATATATGTATAACTATTTACATAGTTGTAGGGAAAGGTAATGGCTGACAACCAGTTCTAAATTACCAAAAAAAAATGGTGATGGTCACAACCCAGTTTAAGAAAGAAATATTTGCTTACCCATTCTAAGGATCAAGGCTTACCACATAATCCAAAAGGAGGGATCTCCAGTAGAGATCTCTCCCTTGTGGCTGCCAGCCCCTAAATGAGACCTAGAGAGCAATGGGACTTCTGGTTGCACAGATGAATTGCTTTCACCTGTGTTCCCAGGGCTGGCTAGTCCTTTCACTAAGTGCTCATTCATTGGTTCAGGCCACAACTTTGCAATTCCCTTACAAATTTAAGAATATCTAAACGCTTTCACATGCATAAGATAAATATATAAGCAGTGATTATATAGAGACAAAGAAGTGCAAAATGTTGGAAATGAGAATCTGTAAAATGTATTTACTTCCAAAAAACTTTTTAGGAAGTATCTAGTTCAACTCTTAATAATGTACATCAATCCACCAACTTGCCTGCTTGCTTTGGGCTCATCTAAATTGTGAGAAATCTCTGATGTGCAGACTAAATCTTTGCCAATCTTCAAAGGAGAATATTGTCACTGATCTTTTTTTTTATGTAAGCTTTCTCCTGCAGATTTCTATGTTGAAGAGGAAAGCTTCCAATCCAGGGATTACAAACAGTGAGTAAGCCAGTGGAGATATGAAGGCTGGCTTATGGTTTTCCAAAAAATCATAGCAAATACTGATTTCTTGAAGTTTGGTAAGTCAGAGAATCTGTAAATTAGATAATTTACAGGAAGAGACAGATATCTGCAAGAGCTGTGCTAAGTGAAACTATGACAAGTTGTTACATTTTATTGTGTGGTGTATAATCACAGCAAGGTTTACTGTTTTGATTCTCCTCTTAGTTTTATATTGTTGGATTTGATTGGGATGTTGCTTACAATGGAGATGTTCCACTGACAGAATGGAGAGGAAGTACAGAGGACATATTCAATATCTGAGATCTTGGATCTCATTTTTTTTCACTGTGTACATTAATAATTCAACAAATGTTTAGAAATTGTAAAATACAGTCGTAGAATCATAATACGGTTTCAAAATCACTGATTTGAAAGGGACCCTTAAAGGCCACCTGGTCCAACCCCCTTGCAATGAATAGCAAAACCTACAGCTTGATCAGGTGCTCGTGCAGCCTGACTTTGAGTGTCTCCTAGGATGGGGCATCTAGCACCTCTTTGGGCAACCTGTGCCAAACTTGTTAGCATGAACTGCTCTGAACTCAACCTACTGAGAGCAAGTCAACAGGCACTTGGATTCCTACTGCTATCACCATCTGCTTGAAACAGGCCTTCAGAGCTGCCTCCACAGCCCCAACTCTCATGTAGAGAAAAAGGGCCTACAAATTTCCTGATAGCAAAAAATCCATGCTCCTCTATGGTTTCTAAATTTATTTACTAAGACCCCTTAATAGTGAACAAGACTCTTCTTGCACTAAATAAATTGCATGGTTAAGGTATGTAACGTCAACTGCATGTCCAAAGTGAGGATTATGTAAAAACAGTCTCAATAATTAAAATGAATATAGCATAAACAGGTTTTTTGTTTGAGTTTACCATGATGCATTTTCTTGAAGTGTTTGAAAATCCAAAAGCACAAGTCTAAATGTTTCTGATCTCCTTTCAACAAATGTTCTATACAAACAAAGCAACTGCATGAATCAAACACTACAGAATTAAATAAATGTATGAAAATATCTCAGAAAGTGTAACTGGTAGTCATTCAGCATGGAAAATATTGTGAAAAACTCGAACAATATGGCTGTAGAACAGCAAAACTGTAAATAGGGGTCAACTCACCTCTGTAAGTTTGTAAGTTTGACAGTGGAGACAGAACATCCACATGTTGCCTGTGGAATACCTCCATGGTCCATAGAATGGCATAGTGCCACACAGAAGTTTGTCACTGGCTTTTGGTACATTTTCTGACAGCATAAGCATGAGGTGGACTTTGTCCTATCACAGGTTTCTCTTCTGAATTTCCAGGCTTTCCAGAATTCAGAGTAATTGTACAGATTATTCCATGCAGACACCCCAGCTGATTCTCTGTGTCTTTACTCAGAAATAACACCATCTGCTTTCTGTGGGCATTTTGCTTGAATAAATAACGGTACACTTAACCCCTGAAGGGTTTGCCTAGGAGCTACAAAGCAGCCTCCAGAACAACTGCTTCATCTTGCTGCTGAGAAACTATTGGCAAAGCCTGAAACTAATTAATAGTAGTCACTGCTTACAAGATGCTTTATATATTCAAAGTATTGTACAAAACCATATTCAGTTGTCTGTCTAAATACCACATTATTTGCATTCTACCTAAGATGAATGCAAAAACTTGGACCTTGTGCAGTCTGCAGCTATCAAGCATAGATTGAAGGGAGCTAAATCTTTATATGCATGTTCATGGTGCATACACATACATATTCATGGCACATACTAGGTGCATACACTCATGTAGCATCACAGAGTTACTCTATGGCTCAAAGATGGAACCAACCCATAGATACCATAATTTGGAGTGCATAGCAGATTTCAAAAGCCTTCTAAACAGTGTTTGAGGATCATCTGGTATAATGTTTGCAAATTTCTCTTAACTCAGTGTATCCCACGAAGAAAATATACTAGGAGCACTGAAGTCAATGGTTTTACATTAAAACTCCACACTATATGACTATTCTTATTAAAAAAAAAAAAAAAAAAAAAAAAATCACTGAGATTAATTATTTCATCTTAGAGTAGCTGAGAAGATAAAGTAAGTTGAGTGACTTTGACTGACAACCAGAGTCTAATCCATCAGTTGCTCAGGGCAACAGCCTGCTGTGGACAGCAAAATAGCCAAGTTCCTATCTCCTCTGCTTGTACCAGAGCCCTGGGAAACCATTCTTGTGGCTGCTGAGAAGAGGGGTTAGGGAAGAGAAAACTGCTGTCACAGTTATGGCAGCAATAACAACAGCCACTACTCTTTGCCTCTGATACCCTCCCAAGCAAGCAAGGCTGTCCAGCACCTCTCACTCAGCTTTCCTTTCTCGCTTTTCCTCCCCAATGTTTTAACTCTAGCCCTTTACGTGCAGCAGTATTCCTTTGCCTTCACAGCTGAGATACATCAGGTTGGCATAGTGAAACATTAATAAGCCAAAAGCCACTAAATCATGGAAAAGTTGCTAAGATTTGATGAAGCCATGGCATTAAAAGAAAGAACCACGAGGGAAGACATTGCTTCAGTAGGCTCCTCATGTAGGATTGTGAATACAGATGGCATGTTGCCATAGATACAGGGAATCCCCAAGCATTACTTAGAGACATGAAATGTAGTCAGAAAGAGCATTGTAAATACAAATAGCAAGATCATTTAGACCTCACCAGTCCCTGATCCACTGATCATGATACAAAGGAATTTTTCTTCCTGTTGCTCTTTCACTGTCAAATAATAATCCAGCCTGAAGCAAGAGGCAGGATTTTCAAACATGCTTGCTATTAGTCCAATTCTGTTTCACTAAAATTACTACAAAAAAATTCCAGTGACAGTAGCAGTCAAGGACACATAGAGAGTGTCAGCATCCCACCGAGCGTGCTTCCAGCAGTGAAAATGAGGATGCTCTTCATGGAAGTTACAGCCCAGTGAAAATAGAAACAGGCTTGCACAGAAGTGGACTGAGGGTCCCTCTGTAACCAGCTATTGAAATTACCAATCCCAGTCCTACTTTTCAGTCCTGCCTGATGCTACCTGTGAGTCACTATAAGAAAAAGGAGTGTTTGCATTATCTGCTGAAAAAAAGAGCTCCTGTTGTTCCTATAGATCTTTATTGCTGATAAACAGCCAAGTGCATGCTGAGGACAAAAAGACAATATTTCCGTTCTACAGTTGGGGATCTTGAAGCATGGGAAAATAAAACATCAGATCCATAGTAGACCCAGATACACAATATGCATGTGTGCCTCTGACTATCCACAAACTATTAAAGCACTGCAGCAGATCTGACAGTCAGCAGCTACACAAATTCAAATAGGAACTTTAGCTATGCTTCAAGACACTGAATTTTCAAGATAACAGGTTTCGTAACTCTCAGAAAAATTGACTAGATGAAAAACGAAAGACCTCTAAAGCACACTGTACCACCCTGCCTATAAGCATAAAAAAAGAGTGTGCTAATGTATGTATGAGCCCATACATTACAATTACAATATATACAATCAATAGTACCCATATAGAATACACGGAAGTCTGTAAATCAATTACTTGTGTGTGCAGGCTTAGTAGATGTTACTGGATCACACACAAGGTTCATAGATGTTGCATGATTTATTCAGTAGACACTTCTAGAATGTCTAGGATATTTTTCCATCAATAAAGTCCACTACCAGAGGCCACTGAAGAGCAGAATGTTACAATGTCACTTCAGTGACGATGGAGAACATCAGAGCTCAGTAATGTTGCTCCTGCTACTGGTCTTGCAGGACATGAGTCTCAGAGTAAAACAAAGGTTCAACAAGGCCAAGTGTCGGGTCCTCCATTTTGGCCATAACAACACCATGCAGCGTTACAGGCTTGGGGATGAGTGGCTGGATGAGTGGGGATGAGTGGCTGGATGAGTGTGAAGAAGAGAAGGACCTGGGGGTGTTGGTTGATGCTCAGCTGAACATGAGCTGACAGTGTGCCCAGGTGGCCAAGAGGGCCAACAGCATACTGGCCTGCATTAGAAACCATGTGGCCAGCAGGAGCAGGGAGGTGATCATCCCCCTCTACTCAGCACTGGTGAGGCCGCACCTCGAGTATTGTGTTCAGTTTTGGGCCCCCCACTACAGGAAAGATATTGAGATCCTGGAGCGTGTTCAGAGAAGGGCAACAATACTGGTGAGGGGTCTGGAGCACAAACCTTATGAGGAGCGGCTGAGGGAGCTGGGAATGTTTAGTCTGGAGAAGAGGAGGCTCAGGGGAGACCTCATTGCACTGCCTCTTCTCCCAGGCAACTAGCAGGACACGGGGCAGTGGCCGCAAGTTTTATCAGAGGAGGTTCAGGTTGGACATAAGGAAGAACTTCTTCTCTCAGAGAGTGGTCAGGCACTGGAATGGCCTGCCCAGGGAGGTGGTGGAGTCACCGTCCCTGGCAGTGTTCAAGACACATCTGGATGACGTGCTGCGTGACATGGTTTAGTACTAGTGGTGGCAGTGGTGATGAGGAGACGGTTGGACTGGATGATCTTATAGGTCGTTTCCAACCTTGTGATTCTTGTGATTCTTGTGATTCTTGAAAGTATAATTGGTATCAGAACAGGCACGTCTGCCCTCCAAGGTAAAATATGTGCAGTACTACCATCCTGGGTTAATATTTCTGAACAGGGACATGTCCAGGGAGTTTGTACTACATTCTCTGGCCTCATATTGATGGTTGAATAATTGTATCAGACACCAGAGGGGGTGTTCTGACCTGCCAAAGCAACAGCATCAGTGTTCCTTCCCAATGAAAATTGGGGTTTGTATTATAATTTCTGGGATCCATATACTGATTATTTGTGGAATTACTGATCCTACCTCTTATAGTATGTTCCCCCATGGTGCAAGAGCAAGGCTGCACTACTTTGGTCCTACCTGCATCTCCCAAGCCTGCTTTACTTCATTGGTCCCCAGCTCAAGGTCCTCAGGGGATGGGAGATTAAGATTATTCAGTGTTTCAACTTGTGGTTTCAAGCATACATCATTTCCCTTAATTTGGAACCTAAGTGGGGAGGCCCAAGTAGTTTGTAATATACAGAAGGCACTAGGTCAACTACCTCTGGGAGTTCCATTTAAGTCTCTCAGAATCTCATGCAGTTGTTTGGTGCAACCCTGCAGGGGCTGGGAGTCAGTCTTCAGAGTGGCCTTTAGAATGACATTGTATCACACTATCAGGCCTCCTCCTGTCAGATTATAGGGCAGATGGAACTATCATTCTATGTTACTTTCCTCGACCCACTTCTGTATCACTACGCCCTTAGAATGTGTTCTTTTGTCACCCTCAATGACCTGAGGAGTATCATACATTGCCATCAGTTTGGTGAGTGCCTTGATGGTGTAGTGTTGATGTGCTTGTGGTACCTGATAGGTCTGCAGTAGTCAACACAGGCCAGATCATACCAGGCCCCTTCAGACCAAGGGAGGGGACCTGCCGTACAGTCAATCTGCCATCTCTGCAAGGGGTTGTGTCCTCTTCCAAGGTGGGCTGTTGTCTCCAGTAGTGGCCTCTGTCACATTCTGGTGAAAGCTTCACAATCATAACACACCTGTACAATACCTGACATTCAGACAAGAAGTCCCCATGCTTTTACTGCTGCCTACATCATCTTTTGTCTGGCATGTCACAATTTCTTATGCAACCAGTCAGCAATGTTCTCTGTTGGTGGATCTTTCAACCATCTGACCAGAGCCAGTGTGCCAGCTTCATCATTTCCAGGTGACTGCAAGGGCTGATGGCCAGATACACAGTTGGCATATACTGTTCTATGCCTAACCACGTTCTGTATATCAATCCACATGCCTCAGCCCCAGATTGGTTGGGCATGGATAGTCCTGACCTGAGCAGCCTACTGTGCAATCCAAAGTGTGAGCCCTCAGTATACTGCCCAGTTATCCTTGCAGATGTTCAATACACTATCACCCGATTCTTGGATCACAACCATTCACACTGCT